CATAATGTATCAAGTTCATATGCTTTTAGAAATATATGGATGAAAAAATGATTGTCAATTACTAAAATAGACACTTGTAAAATTAGGTATTTTTTTAACAGGTATTTATTAACAATTGTATGCTTTTCTTTTTAATTTATAAAAGTTGTAATTTATTGAACATCCTTGAGACAGTCACACCATAGGACAATTTTGAGATTTAGCTCAAAAATGTAAAAAAAAAAATCTAATAACAAAGCAGTTTTTATAACAATGGGTCCATGTAAGACAAAGAAATTTTAAATGATGACAATATTAATTATTTACATTTTTTATATTGTGTGACACTGAAAATGCAATGTCATGTCAACAACCCATTTAAGCAAACTTTTAAAACTAAAGAGTTTAAAATTAAAAAATTAAAGAGTTTAACAATTGCTTAAGAGAAATTTATCAAAATTCAGTGAGATTAGTGCTTAAAGCAAAAACACCTGGTTATGAAAATTGCATTAGAGAACATAATAATAATAATAATAGAAGAATAATTAATTTTCTGGGCTGGCATGACAGTCCAGATTAAAATGCAAAAATAATCAAATATAAGTGTAAACATGTGGAAACAGATTTAAGCAACATTAAAGTGATGGCAAAAATCTGAGACGAGACGAGATAGGGTTCACAAGAAAGACTAGAAAAGATTTTTACATTATTTTAAGAAATCTTCAATGATGAAAAACATGCCTGGAAAAATAGTCTGCAGGTGCATTGAAATGTTTTAACTAATCTTGCAATAAATGCCATCTCAGTTCTGCTTTCGGAGTATGAATTATTATATGCAATAACAGAATACTCAAGCACTGTAAAAGATTTTGCCACAAACTCAACTGACTGACTTCTCTTCTGTATGATGTCATGAGTCTCAGACCTATAGAATTGTACTTGCAGGCTATGAGTTTTTAGAATGTTTGACCTCCTATCTGAACTTTTTTCCACAAATTGATCATAGAAAAAAAAAAAGAACAGTTCTTTCTTAGTCTTATTAAGTGCAACCATAATCAAAGTAGGCTACTCTCTCAATATTCAAATCAAAGCGCAAACAGAAACCAAAATTTTCTTCAAGCATGATACAGAGCTAAGAGATGGTTATAACTACACATCATATTATAGTGTGCATACTAATTACAGCCTAGATATTGTATGCAGCCTAATTTGCATGCATCAGGGAGCCGCAGCCGCTCTCAAACTGCTGGTATTGAAATTGCGTTTGAATGCGCGCACGCATCCTTTTTAGTTTCGCTTTCGATTTCGCGATCGGGACCGGAGGTGCTGAGCGTGCATTGCATTCTACAAGATTTGTCAGACACTTACAGTGCGTATCCACTAACATTTTTAATTAATTCCTATGGAAGTTCAGCTTCAGAGGAAGAGCAATCAACCATAACTTCAGGCGAGCAGGCTCAGAAGTTCGGAATACTTGGAAAGTCACCACTCCCGAATGAGTTCGCGCGAGAGAACGGAGTCTTTTAGTTTTAAGTCGGTTTGAACAATCCAGATAAGCGCAAGTAAGTACCATTTTGATTAGCCGTCATACCTACAATGACTGTGCACTGTGTAAACAATGAGTGACGTATACGCGCGAGAGATCACTTCCGGCGCTTGCGTAAACTACGCCAGAGCGCGTACACGCCTCACGCACCGGATGCCGTGCGCGCGCCCAAAGACAGTTGGACATAGTGGTGTATTAGAGGTAAAAAATGATATAAATACTGTTCGGTTTCTGGCACAAACTGATCGTTTCGTGTCTTAGGACATCAATGTGTCGTCAAGAGCCGCAGGGTTTAATTTGGATTTGTCTGCATGTTTTTTTTACTCTCATAGATTTTGTTACCATTGCCATGCATTATAAGACTGATAGACTGCAACGGTTGGACTTAAAAATCATCAAATGTGTTCTACTGAAGAAACAAAGTCACCTACATCTTGGATGCCCTGGGGGTAAGCAGAGAAACATCAAATGTTCATTTTTGGGTGAACTATCCCTTTAAGTGCAACCATAATCAAAGTAGGCTACTCTCTCAACATTCAAATCAAAGCGCAAACAGAAAGCAACATTTTCTTCCAGGATCATATTCTGTGTGGTCAGTACACAGCAGTGATAGAAATTAATCATTTCCAACTAGTTTTATGGGCATTTTTATCTTTAAGCCATTTTTTCTAAAAGTATGTACCATCTTTTGAGTCAAATTCTTGCATTTGGACTGTTGCCAAGCAAATGAAATCAGTATCAACAAAATTTATCTTAAATCTTTAGCTGCATTAGAAGTATTAAAACCCTAAACCCTGGAAAAATGTGAACCTCCAAAATTGTTTTATTTTATTTTATTTATTTATTTTTCAGTTTAGCATCAAGAAGTTATCAATTTTCAAACCTATGAGACCAGATTTTCTATACCCATTACCGAATAGGCCATTCCAGGATGACATTTTTCAATTTTCAACTTTTTTTAAGTTTTACCGTAACATTTTTTCATCATGAAAATGGCCACATAAGCTGGCATTTAGCATCTCAGAGGATGTACTAGTGTATGCATGGCAGCAAAGTAAGTAAGATGATGGAAATGCTGAAAACACAAAGATCATGGTAGGTAGAGAGAAAAAACCCACAAATACAAATTCTGTAATTTCAGTTTCTTGCTTGCTTGCTTGTCACCAGAGCTGTTTGGTTTCCAGTAATCTTCAAAAATCTATTATGTTCAGCAAAAGAATGTGTAGTCACACATTAATATAGGAATTAAGAAATTCTTACTTTTCTGTAATTTAATCAGAAGCCATAACGTGTGAAGAAATATGCAGGCAATTTTTATACATTGCTCGTCTTGCATATGCTGTAAAAACGGTAAACAATGCATTCTGGGTAGAGGTCTGCTACCTGACCCGAGCCCGGCAGGTCGCGAAATACTTTCGGGTCGGGTTAATGTTTAATGAATAGCTTCGGGTTCGGGTCGGGCTCGGGTTTATCCACCTTTTTCTTCAACGCGAAAGTACGCCTATGGGTGAGACTTCCGGTTCATTATCCGCTATAGGTAAATAATGAGGAAAATAACAACGTGCAGTAAACGGTTAAACTGTTTGCACTACAAACCATTGTGTTCATAATTAAGATAATATATTAAAATAATATGATAAGACACACAACCTTTCAATATCAAGCAGCAAAACGAACTGTTTTGGTCAGCTACAAATAGTTGGGCGGAGTGGACGCAGATGAGACCGGAAGCCAGAACCATAGAATTTACAAATGGCCGCGCCCATTTTTACAACAAGAAAAAGGTGGATAGCTAAGCTGAAAGTATATGCAGGCTACGCTGCTTTCATAGACGTACGCGCACACATTGCTCACGACAACACAGCACGTAAACTTTTATTAGTAAAATAGATTCGACAGGCCACTGACTGGCAACGTTATATTTATGTGCAATGAGGGGGTAAAATCGCTGTTTTTGAAGTAACTAAGCCTCATTGCTTGTAGAGAGAGACGCGCAGACGCAGGTTCACACACGCAACTTTCAGCCCTCTCTCGCGCTAATTCAAATAAATGATATAATTAATTAATTCAAATAAATGCGATCTTACCGCACTGCATCTCTGTGTCTGAATATCAAGCAGCAAAACGAACTGTTTTGGTCAGCTACAAATAGTTGGGCGGAGTGGACGCAGATGAGACCGGAAGCCAGAACCATAGAATTTACAAATGGCCGCGCCCATTTTTACAACAAGAAAAAGGTGGATAGAACTCATTATAATCTTGATTTAAAGCAGGCCGAATGCTAACGAGCCTTAACTGACGGTACATGACCGCAGTAAAGATAGTTTGCGGTTTGACATTCAGATTTCTTTTGGCTATAAATACGCAGCGCGCTGTCATAGACATGCAAATAATACCGAATATATATTGTAGCCTGATTTCGGCCCGAAGGGTTCGGGCTCTAAATTTAACTGTGCCGCTCGGGTCGGGTCGGGTCAGACGATCTCGGGTACGGGCCGGGTTCGGGCTTCAGTTTAAAGCCCATGCAGACCTCTACAGTAGAGCCTATAAGTGTATAATTATAATTAGCTTAACTTAAGACCAAGTGAAGTTTTCATGTAGGTAACAAAGACAAACACGTGTATGAGTTTCCCAGAAAGAGACTCTGAGAGAGGACGTATCAGCCCGAGGAGAGAGGCATTACTGGATAGAAGAGGGAAAATCTACGAGGGCAATGATCGAAGAAGAGCAGGAATGGTGCCAATTCTTCAGCAAAGCTTTTGTAGAACTCGGCCGTTAGGCCATCAGTTCCAGGAGATTTGTTATTTTTAAGGCCCTCAATCCCCTCAATTATTTCAGTGATAGTTAAAGTTTTATCGCATGCAAGCTGCTCATCTTTAGATAATGATTTAACCTCCTTTAATGAATGAAAGAAAAGAAGGGCTGAATCTTTACAGTAATTAGATTTATAAAGTTCTGAATAGAAATTACTACAGAAACAGGCAATTTCCTTAGAATTATCTGTCAAAATGCCATTAATTTGCAGAGAACTAATGGTAAGCTTCTTAGAATTGTGTTTTTCCATTCTAACAAAAATAAGCAGAGCTCTGTTCTCCTTGTTCTAGCCATTTCCTCCCTGAACGGACATAGGAACCTTCAGCTTTGTATTTATAAATACGGTCTAATTTAGATTGGAGCCCTGCAAGTTCTGTCAGGCCAGTTTCTGATAAGCCATCCTGAGTTTTGCTCTGAAGTGTTAAGATCTTTGATATAACCTTCTCCTCTTCATGCCTTCTCTGTTTTGCCAAATTGCTACTAAAATGCCTTATGCACATCCGTACTTCATATTTTAGCATCTCCCAATTTAGGCCAAATTTTTTGTCGGAAGAAGCTTTCACCCAGTAGTGTCGAATCAGAGAGGAAATTCTTTTTTTTAATTCGTCATGTTTAAGTAGAGAGGAATTCATTTTCCTGTAAGAGGCTCTAGAGTCTAGAGCACACGCAGACCTCTAATTCTGGGCCTTGTCACCTGCCGTAATACGTCAGCTGCAAATGATCACGTGACTTGTGTCAGTTACCCCGCTTCGGTCGCAACAATCCGTAAGATGTCTGTAGAAGGCTGATTCCGCAGTCACAACATTTGGAAACATCGTCGGAGGAGCTTTCCTTCTGGTCCTGACTGTCAGAACATTTTGCCGAGGGACATTTCCACCCAGCCCGTCTAATTCGCCATCACAATGCTGAACTTCTGTCCTCAGTGTGGCTCGAAGGTACAGTCTGGTTTCAGATTCTGTCCATCCTGTGGTGGGAGACTGCCAGAAGACCTACCAGAAGCTGTAGCTTCACAGTCACCCGAACCACATCCAAACTCCGTGCTTTCAACTGTGAGCGCCATGGAAGGTAAATACAGGCTTTAGTTCAACCAATTATTTTAATTACATTGATCCGAAAAGTTAGTCTACAGTTCGTTTTGTTTGAGAGTCCTATAATCAAAGGAGCAGAACAAGATGATAATGCTTTGATTCATGTCTTCATCATAAATACTTAAGTACATTACTACAACTGTTTAGTGTACAAAATATTTGCTGGTTTCATATCTACAATGATTAGATAACCATTTATTGGTTCATATGTAACGTAACGTTAAATTCAGGTGATGGCATGGTCCAGTTTTCATTATTCTCTTGTCATTTAGTTGGAGACTGTTAATCTCCCTACTCAGTCCCAACTGTAGCAGGTTTCAAAATGGACTTAATATAATATCAGCATTTAACTCACTGATTGAATATGTACTATCTATGCAGTGCATCGTTATGGTATTGGTTGCCCAGACATAAACCAGTCATATTTGTTTAAAATAATCTGAGAGAAAATATTTGTATTCTTCCCGTAAATCCCATGAATGATCTCAACTGTTTTTAATATTGATAATAATAAGAAATGTTTTTTGAGCACCAAATCAGCATATTAGAATAATTTCTGAAGGATCCTGTGGCTGAAGATTGAAGTATGGTTGCAAAAATTCAGCTTTACAATCACAGGAATAAATTACATTTTACACAGTACTACGTTTTTATTGTAGTTGTAGTTCATCAATCAAATACAGCCTTGGTGAGCTTTAGAGACTTCTTTCGACAACATAAAAAAAAATCTTCCCACCCCAAACGTTTGAATGGTAGTATATGCAAAATACTTGTAAATCTGTGTATATGCAATCTGACTGAGCTTTCATTCGGACCTCAGTTGCTTCTTTATAAATGAGTATTGACAAAACAGTAAACCACATTCTTTTTGTAGTCGATTCTGCTGGAGACTCCTCACAATCTGCACTGAATCGCCCACCTTTGTGCTCAACACGGCAGAAGACATTGAGTAGCACAGCCACGGACTCTTTAGGTGAGTCTAAGGGTGATGTGTGTTTCTAGTGTAGAAACAAAGGCTTTGTAGACATGCTAGAATTTGTGTGAAAGATGACGGCTAAATTTCAGATCAGAAGTCTTTGCCATCTCGAAAACGAAAAGCATCCCCTCTGGTTAACGAGGAGGAAGTGTCACAGACAACATCTGCTATAATAACTCAAACCCCAGGCAGACACACTATAATGTGAAACACTAGACATTATCTTTAAAAAAATAGCATGTTTTATTATAGCTGAAGGTAGTTAGATGCTCCTGTTGTTTTGAATAGACATCAAGAAAGGTTACATTATTACATATAGAAATGTTCTTCTAAATGCAAATCAACAGTGTTCTAACATTGACTGCTGAAGGATTTTATGTGAAAAACCTCTGCTTTGTTTCAGATAAGAAGTCACTGAAATCTCCACGAAAAAGAAAGGCATCCCCCCAGGTTAAAGAACAAAAGGAGGTGAAACAAACTTTTTTGGCTACACTTCAAACTCCAGGTAAGATATTGTGTACTGGGAAACTATGTTATCTTCAAATTTAGATGTGGTATCTTTTTTCAGCTATAGATAATTAAAGTAGATTTTCCTGCTCAGTCATATAGTAAATTGCAAATATGACCAAATCATTACAAATGCAATCATTTTTACACATGTTTACAAATAAATACATATTTAGGAGATTTTTAATAGTGTGTCCTGAAATGTTTTGTGTGCTGCATTATTTCAGATAAGACATCTTCGATGTCACCTCGAAAACAGAAGACTTCCCCCCTGGTTAAAGATGAGGAGGTGAAGCAAACGTCTTCAGTTATTCAAAGCCCATGTAAGATGCACTTTATAGAGGACAGACTGCTCAATATATATTGAAAATAATGTTTCATGATATCTAAAAGTGATTGCATCACATTTCTTTATTTTGTTTCATACTAAATGGCAAAAATAGCTAAATGTTGTTATTTTGTGGGTTTTTAGCCAAATGCAAAGCCAGGAAGCGAGTGTGCGCTGTTGAGCCTGTCCCAAAGGGTACAGTGGTTTGTGACCAGTCCAGCAAAAAGTGGAAGCTGGTTGAACTTCTGTGGCAAACAGAATTAGATCTGACATATGCAGGTAAGGCGTATATGACAATAACCATCTTACCCTTGATTAATGAGATGAGTGAATGCATCCATCTATGCACTTTAAATCCTTTTATCATTTTTTTTTGTCAGATGGTTAAGATAACAATAACAGCAATGCATTAAAGGTGGCATATGAATCTAAATATTGTCTATCTAATCTAGTCTGCCAGGCAAATCAGCACGCAGACTCAAATGATTGCAAGTACATGTTGCGACTGGTGAGTGCTGTGTTCACACAATGTAGTGTCTGTGTACACGTGTTTGGGAAGAAGGTCTTGATGACTTTGTGTTCTCTTTCTCAGGGGGCTAAAGAGGGGCACCTGTTTAATGAGCAGAACTTCCATCTGAGAGCAGCCAAACCTGATGCAGGTCAGTCATTTTAGCACTTGTAATGGATACATAAAGACCCAGCTTAGTGCAACTACAGGCTTTCCACAACTTTCTTTTTCTTTGTCAATAGTGGAGAAATGGTTGAAACTGCACAAATTGGACTTCCTTGGGATTCCATCCTGTGTAGGGTTCGGTCTTCATGACGCATATAGGTATTGGGTTTATATCCTTATGTTCGGAAACTTTTATAGACTAATATACACTTCTGTTCAAATGTTTGGGCCCAAAAAATATAATTTTTAAAGAAATAATACTTTTATTCAGCAAATCCTGAAATATTTCCCCAAATATTAAGCAGCACAGCTGTTTTCAACATTGACAATATGAAATGTTTTTTGAGCACTAAATCAGTATATTAGAGTGATTTCTGAAGGATTGTGGAGTAATAATGGCTGCTGAAAATTCAACTTTGCCATCACAGGAATAAAAAAAAATAAAAATAAAAAAATAGAGAACAATTATAAATTCTTATAATATTTTACAATATTACTGTTTTACTGTATATATATATATATATATATATATATATATATACACACACTGAGGACAAGGACAGGATTTGTAATTTTCAAAAGTGTTTTTAATAAATTAAAAAATATCTGAGAACCTAATGAATGACATATTCCTTTACAGAACAACTCACAGAAATCAACCATCAGTCAGTTTTAGACATTTTTTGGATGTAATACTTTTTATTCACTGTAACAAGTCAAGGACAGATAATGTACATTTCTGGTAGAATGTCCCATATATACAGTATATATATATATATATATATATAATAATTATTATTATTATTATTATTTTTATTATTTTTTTTTATCAAATAAAAGCAGACTTGCTAGTCATAAGAAGCTTTTTTCAAAAGCATTTAAAACATTTTACTGACCTTAAAGTTTTGAATGGCAGTGCACATATAATCATAGATGTCAATACATAGTGAGAAAAGCCTCAAGACATTCAAGATAAGATGTTACAATAATTATATTGACATTACAAAAATGGCTTTTGAAGCCAATATATTTTATATTTATCATAGTCTTATAGCCAACAGCCATTCATTTTGCAATTGGGAAATGGTGGAATGTATTTACATACATTTTTTCCACATCTCATCTGTAATAATGTTAGTCTTTGTGATTGTGTACACTGACGTCTTTGATCATTGATTTGCATTTCACTGATTTTCATAATCTTGCATCATGAGCACCACATTTTATGATTGTGCGTAAAGATAAAAACAGTTCAATGAGCATGAGTTCACTGTGGAATCTAATCATAACCATATTCATATTCACTTCCCTGCAGGTTTTTAGTTTTTCCTAGCATGGGTCAAACTCTACAGACAGTCATGGATGAAGGGAACGATACTCTATCTGAGAAAGCTGTGCTCCAGCTTGCACTGCGACTAGTGAGTGTGCTATTCAATGACGTTCAGATTTGTTTCTATTTCCACACATATATATAGTATGTGTGTGTATGTGTTTTGTAGTTGGATGCACTGGAATTCATCCACGAGAAGGAATATGCCCATGCAGACATCCATGCTGGAAATATTTACATCAACACTGACAGTCACACAGAGGTCAATAAGCATGTCCCTTATGAACTGAACATATATACTCTATATATTACTTAAGTATTAAAGCGTTTGTTTGTTCGTTTGGTAGGTTTTCTTGTCAGGCTTTGGTCATGCATTTAGGTTTTGCCCTGGTGGAAAGCATGTGGAGTACAGACAGGGTAGCCGCACTGCACACCAGGGTAACATCAACTTTATCAGTGTGGATTCTCACAAGGGAGCTGGTGAGCATCACTTGTTCATTGCATTACTTACTTTATCCGTGTACGAAAGCAAGTCTAATTTACTATGGTCTATGGGTGTTTTGCAGGTCCCTCTCGTCGTAGTGACCTGCAGTCTCTGGGTTACTGTATGCTGTATTGGATGACAGGTTCACTACCCTGGAGTCAGCTCTCTCAAACAAGCTCGGCCATTGCTGCAGAGAAGGAGAGGTCAGTGAAACCACAAAAACATCTTCATCAGGCATATATTCAAGAGAGACCGGTTGCATAAACTGCTTAAACAGGCCTTACAAGTTAGTCATCAAATTTTTTTTTTCAAGACTGGTCACAACTTTAAGTCAGTTACATAAGAAGGTAAATTTGAATCCAGAAAGTAAGACTGATTACCCCTTGGCTAACTGCTATGTGGTCAGACTAGTTCTTGTAACACAGTAACATAACATAATAATAACATAGTGGCTTATCATATACTTACTACCTGGAGTAGTGTGGTATAGTTGTTAAAGCTTAGTGGTGGTAACTGGTAACCTTCAAGAAACAAACCTTTACTGTGAGCAAAATGTTTTGTTGATACTAAGGACCCCTAAATATGATGGACCACCTTGTTAAAATATAAAGGGAACTAAAGGGAGTTATTTTTAAAAACTTTAATAATTGGTCTGAATAAAATTCGAATAATAAAGTTAAAATAAAAAAATAATAATATCTGAAAAACATAAAGTATTACTATTAAAAATTGTAATTTAATACATTAAGATAATAGTTTATATAACAAAGAATTGTAAAAAACATTTTTACGTTACGTTTTTTTTTTACAAATTGTCTGTGGACCCCCTAGTACCCCCTTGAGGGTCCTTCTTGGAGTCCAATTTGAAGAGAGCTGAACATAATCTATAAAGGCATTTCTTACAAATACGTTTTATTTTAAAAATAAAATATACAAATATTTTTTTCTAATAAAGAATAAATTATTTTTATTTCCACCCTAGCTTGTGTACTGCGTCTATTGCTTACTTTTGAAACTTGCTTTTTGCAGTGCTGCAGATATTGTTGGCTCTTGTATGATAAATTGCTTGTAATGTTCCTTTGAAATAGAAGCATCTTATTGATTAATTAAGAAATGAAGGTTGCTAGCCCATCATGAGCCATTAGCTTTCATTGGCTGAAAGTACATGAACAGATTTTCATTGAAATACAAGCGACTGCTATCTGACTACGTCATCATACCATATGCATTTCGAATCATAAAGGAACATCGCTACTGGATGTACAATTTTCAAGAATTAAAACATACCACTTTACAGAGGTAAGGCTACAGTTACGTGCTTTTATGTTGAATATGTTTTCTGCCTGCCTACAGGTATATTTCTGATATCACTGGACTTTTGAGTGGCTATTACAAACAGAAGAAAGCTTCAGGTGAGCATGCTTGTTTCTATTCTCACTTCATGTGCTTAGTGCTAGCGAAGATGCGTATGTAATGTTTTGTTTTGTAATTTAGGTGCATTACAAAAATACCTGTCTAATGTGATGAGCCTGCAGTATACTGAGAAACCAGATTACACACTTCTGAAAGCTGGGCTTCATGAGAGCTTACAGAAGATGGGTGGGAGTCTGAATGAATCACTGAATTTGCAGGTAACACATATTCCAATATTTACATGACTACTCCTATATATTGTCTGCATATTATAGGTAACATAGTCATCCAGTTTCATTCTCATGTATTTAATACAAAACTGCAACAGCTAACAAGGTAGCTGTAAAAAATAAATTGTTCATGTGCAATTTTTAAGTTGGCAACTTGTATTCATGATCATGCTGACAGTTTGTGAAGTCTCAGTCTCACTTGTTTCTATTTTTATTTACAGGTGAAACCATAATGTGGAATGTGATTTAATGGTTTTATGGAATGTTTAAGAAAGCTTTAATGTTTTACAAGCAACTTTTCTTGCAGTTTTTACAATGATATTGCTGTGTGCATGTTTTCTCTCATAGGTCGAGTTTTAATCACTGATTTATTAGTTGTTGTTTTTTTTTTTTTATTAAGAAAGCAATGTTTATTTGTAAGAGTGACTTTTTTTATACAACAATCATTTCTCCCCATTACATTTCATGCCATCAGTGAAGGTAAAGGTTTTGTTGTAGGTTTACACTTTGGGAAAGGGCATGTTCATGTTTTTTCCTTTTTATAAGTGGTATTGTACCTTACTAAAAATAATAAACAGTACCCAAAAATGTACTTATCTCAGTTTTTTTAATGATCATTGCTACCGCAAGGGGGCATCAACGATTCAAACGTATGTGATTGTAACGGAACTCAAATCGCCAGGTGTAGTTTTCTACACGGAACCAAAAGATAGCATCAATGTTCAATAAGGAGGCGCGAAGACTGATGAGCTCGTTTATTGTGTTTACACTGGTGGACAGTAACAGATAAGTTACACACCATGAATCCACCAAAGATAAAGCGTCGGCGAATGGCTGAGCTGGAGCCGTGGATCGAGAAACTCGTCCAAAACTACGGCCAAAGCCAGTGTGAAACGACTGTAAAAGCCAACGTGGTCGGCGTAAGTAGTAGCAAATGTGTGTGATCATCTCTGTGGAGTGTCGCGTGAGTACTGAAGCGCGGGTGTGTGTGTGTTAGGTGTGTGATATCTCAGACTCGCAGCGGATGGAGCACACAGATGCCTGTATGCTGTTCATGTCCGATGGGAGCGCTGTCATTCCCGCGGTGCTGAGCGACGCCGCGTGGGAGTGTCTGCAGGAGTGAGGGACCTATTAATGCTCTGTTATGACACCACTCACTACACACCTGAGCCCCTGTTTTTATCTAACTCATCTGGATAATCGGGCCCAGTGAAAATCGTGCTGAAATAAGCACAATCTAGCTGTTACAAGGGCTCTGATCTTCTGCCTTGCAGCAACTGTTGCCTTGAATTTTGCACTTGCATGAGTGAATTTCAGAGAGCACTACTTTCAGTTTGAGTGTAATGACAGTAATTCAATCAAACTCAAACATGACTGTGTCAGAGTTTTGTCTTCTGTTTCTTCAGCATGGAGGAGATGGACTCTTTTACAGGCCTGCACAATGCTATAGTATATGTACGCAGCTTTGAACTGAAGTTCGACATGAACCCTGATCTGGTATGTTATATGTATGCAATTTTTTCATCCCAGCCTCTCAACATTTTTCATTTCAGTGCTGATGCATTACTAATCGAAAAAAAGTCATGCCATTATGTCAGGGGCCTTTTTCAAACCAAGCAGCCATCGGATGGAGACAGAGCAAGGTCACCCTGGTATATATTGCATAAGTATGACCTATAATTCATACAGTGGCCTAAACGTTAATATTGCGCCCTAATGATGCTTATTGTACTTTTGCTCATGTTGCAAAAATGTTAAAATTTTGTTGAGTTCTATTTGAATTTAACTTAATTCTTTGTGGGGGAGATTATAAAGCATTTAGCTGAATTTCAGCTTCATGGCAGTATATCTGGTTGAAAAGAGTTTAATATATTTTCGTTTAATAGTTTTTAGGCTTGTTTGGTCTAGAAAACTGTAAATTGAACTTAAAACTAAATTTAATAATTAATCTTAAATCACAGTTGTGTTTCAGGCTTTTAGGAGTCTTGTCTCATTGTCTCACCTCTTTCTTCCATATTAATCCATGTTTCATATTACTTCCTGCCTACTCTGTAGTGCACTATCCAGAAAAAGTTGCAAAGTGCCAAAAAAAAAAGAGAGATGAATATAATTTTTTTTAATAAAATATTTTATTGGGTAGAAATTGTGATTTTAAAATATTTTTTAAAAATTCTCCTCTTAAATTCTTCAGCTTTGGAGTAAAAAAAGTTTGAAAACCACTGCCTCGGGGAGTTGAAAAACACTGTGTTAAGGCGAATTTTCGCAGGTGAAGTGTAGTCATTTCAGTGGAAATATGCCTAGTTGGGAATTCAGATTTCTCAATGGTTTCAAACTGGTCAAACAGATTTGCCGTATTGACCAACAGATAGCTTCTTGGTTTAAAAATGACTTCTGTGTGAACTGTGCTTCATACACAGCTACACTATTGACGATTGACCATTTTGCTTGCAGAATTTTGCACTTTTACGTACATGTTTGTTTTGTTTGTTTGTTTTTTTCAGGCATCTTGTCAGTTTTACTTGAAAGTCAGTCGAATGAACATCATATGCATCGCCTCAAAGCACCACCACCCCCCCAGCTGGCAAGTCATTGATCTCTCTACTAAGCGTGCAAAGTGATGTTTCCTAATCGCACTAAATCAATAACAGTTAATCTTTGTTAATCGAATTATCTTTCAGCACAACTCTCTCATCAGTCAGAGATCAGATCATAAAGACATGGAGGTGCGTTGACCTTATTTATAGTTTGTGTGAACACATACATCACACAGAGAACTGTAGCGTGTTTTTAAGATGATGTGTTGAACAGGTCGTGTTAATTGTATTGCTCTCTGTCAGATCCCGCAGGGAGGGTTCAGTAAGTTCAGCCTCTGGTAAGTATCACACACTCTTTCTCTTTGTGTTTCTTTGTAAAGCTTGCATGTACACACACCTTTTGCATTGAATGCCTGTAATTTGGATTCGTAATGTCATTTATAAAGCGAAGACACAGAAATGATAAAGATGTGCGTTGTGTACCTAATTTCCCAGGGGTCTCGCTCTCGTCTCTGTTGGACGTGTGGCACAATGACATTATAATAAATATTCTGAATGATGCAACGGAGAAAATAACCATGTCTGCAACGTATTGTCCAAGTGTGGCAACACCAACTCACTGGCACAGAGAGAGGCTTCACTGGAGGGTAAAGCTGCTTCCTTGGCAACTTAAAGGCACCAGCTGTTGACCAGACAAATTATCATTGCGTATGGGTGTGTGTGTTTTTTCCAGGGACAGGAGCAGTTCATTGTCCCCGTGCCTTTTCTTCTCATCCCGGAGGAACAGAGGGAGCTGATGACAGCTGATCCCAGTACTGTCTGCTGTCTAATTAATTGCTTTTTTCATGACAACCCTTTGGGCATTCAACCAGATTTCAACGTGCATGTGGCGCCCTGTGCATATGTGTTTTTGTCTCGTGCACATCAGTGTGCGCAGGTGCAGACAGTGAGAGTGAGACGCCAAATGACTTGGCCCAGCCCCCTGAAGAATCGCATCCAACCAGCGCGTCGAGTGCAAACCAAACAATGGCCACTCAGGACGGTTTAAGTGTCTCATGTCCAGATGAAGGGCCGTCTACTCTGGTACACACAAGACCAGGTGAGATTTTACAAAAGAAAGTCAGTGCTGTTCCAAGTAGATGTGTTATTAAAGCCATCCCTCTGTCTCCCAGAGGTTTTGTGTGGAACGGGGGAGCTATCTGGGGATGGAGAGAGCCCATGGGATATGTTCACGCAAGAGCCGGCTCTATTAGGTAGACGTTCCACCTCAGACTCAAATGGTAATTTCCTGTTTAAGCATATATTTATTACAATAACAGGGCGTCATTGTAATTGTGCACTAAGCATTTCAATCATTTTTGTGCTGATACAGACCCAGAACAAGAAAGTCAATCGCTTTTAAAGGAAGTCCCCCCATTGCCTGTAGCAACAAGCACCCAAGCCCAGTTCTCAAAGCAGATCTCTGGAGGGGTGTCGGTGGACGGCATTACACTCAGTCAGAGACCGAAACCGACCCAGTTTAGTCCGTTCCACTCGAGCGATAAGTCTTGCAGAGACCCCAGTCAGGAGCAAGACAAAGAGCGTGCGCTGAGTCCTCCCTCGTGGCTTGTCCATAATACAGCCCCACCCTCTGAACAGAGGCCCCTAGTGTCTCCACCCGCCGGGCCAAAGCCCTCGGCGTCTCCACCCACCAAAGCCAGGAAAGTGAGTATAAATGATATTTTGCTTTGTCCGAGCTGGGCAGTGTGGCTCACTTGCATAATATGATATGACTAATGCTTTCTGTGGGACTAACCAAATTAAGAATATATCTAGTCCTAATCTATTTGTGTGTTGCATCAGAAATGTGGCTACATTGTCCCAGCTTCCCTGTTGCAGGTGCACTCAGATGGAACGCCTTTTTCCTATTTGTATCACCCACAGCCTCAGGTTGCCACAGCCCTTGGCCATTTCCAGTGAGTATGATGTGTTCCCCACTGACACATGCTGATTATAACATGCTTGTAATGTGATGGCCAATGATCTAAGAACTGTTTCACAGTTTTGTATTCTTGTACTTACACAATAGCAGTCAAAAATTTGGACGTGGTGTATATATATTACTGACTCTCAACTTTCCACAAAAATATTAAGCAGCAACTGTTTTCAACTTAGATAATAATGAAATGTGTCTAGAGCAGCAAATCAGCATATTAGAATGGTTTCTGAAGGATCATCATGTGATCCTGAAGATCCAAAATTCAGCTTTGCATCACAGGAATAAAATACATTTAAAAATAGAAATCAAAATAGAAAATAGTTATTTTAAATTGGAATAACATTTCACAATATAAGCATTTTTGTTATTTGAATGCATAAGAGACTCAAAAACATTTAAAAATCTCACCAACCTCAAAATCTTGAATGGTAGAAAGGTAATATATGCATGTATATTTTACTGTAATATTTTTATTATATCAATATTTTTATATTTTATATATATAATATGAAATAATATAATACATAGTATATATTTGATATAAATTATATATAATATTTATGTATATAATATATATTTATTGTATTTTTCATAATTTAAGCATATGCCTTTACAACAAAAGGTTTGTGTGAAACAGTTTTGACTGCTAGAGTACCTATAATAAAGCTTTCTAGATTTGAAATCTGAAAACCAGATTAGCATCAGAAAAAAATGAGAGCAGAGTGTTACCTAGACAGTGGACATAAGTGTGTAACATCAGCGGTCCAGTATGAAGAGTAAAACCAAATCCCCTGGGAATGAAGCCATCGTCTTTCAACCTAACCACAGTAACCTACACCCCTCATATCCAAGATCTATTTATTGGTTGCTGCTGGT